AGCAGAAAACTAAAACTTCCCGCAAATGCTGCTTAGTTAACACAAAATTTGACATATTCAACACAGTAAAAAACAGGTGTTTTGTATGAAACTCAAAGCGATATAAACTGAATATAATTGACAGATGTCTAACCTCTTTGAAACCACCGAAATCAGCTGTCACTATGAAACATTCATAACAACCAAAGCCATCTTTTGAAAACGGACCGAACTAATTTGTACTCCCAATATTAGAACGTCCACTGGAAGTTCAATAGAGGTCCAAGATGCGGACATTTGGATGTTGAGTGGAGGCTTTATGGATTTTCTATGGACGTCTATTAAAGGTTCTGAATCTCCATGATGGAAGTCTAATGAACATCCGATGGAAGTTTTGTTCTGTGTGGAAAGATTTCTGAATATTTCAAAAATCACATTCGGATAATATTCCATACAGAAAACATAATATTATTCAATTACGAATATTCCAAGTACCATTACACAGAAGATTCATATTCCTATAACAATATTAGAATATTTATTTCAGAATATTCCTCTAAGACGATTTATAGCATTTTCCGGAATATTCTGAGATAATCTGTGTTGCCTGGAACGTCACAATAAGTTATTAATCAAGTTAAGTTAGTCACAGAGTATCGCACCTATCGCACTGTAGGTATGTCACTTTAAGACACATTCTCATAAAATTTTTCAAGTTATACAGTAAAAAAGTGATAAAGGTAAAAATATTCAAAAAATATTTTTACAAAAGTCAAATATAGAAGAACTTAATATTGAACAAAATGATAATTATCGCTATTTAATCTACATAATTCATCAATAAAAATCATAGAAGTAAAACTTGTGAATTTCTAAAACTTGATATTTGCTAATTTAGCATATAAAGGAACAAGAAATATACCAGTATGAATTTTTTATAACTTAACTGATGAAACGGATTACGTTTATATTAGTTTCGATAAAATACAACATTTAATATATGAGATATATGCCGGTATTTATAGTCGGGTCTTATTTTTAAGACTGTCTTAAGTTCATCTTCAGATACTCCGTAGCCAATGAAATAATCCGTTCATCATCTGAAGATAAACTTAAGACGGTCTTAAATATAAGATCTGACTATAGGCCTGTTCTTTGTAGCTGCACTACTGAACTAGTGCAATAAGTTAGAGTGAGAAAACGTATATTTGTTTCACTTCAATATATTGCACCAGTTCAGCAGTGCAACTACAAAGAACAGGCCTTATGAATACCGGCCATAGAGGTATGTCGCTTTAAGCCCTATTAGACTACCGACTGCACAGGCCGACCCGACTACCGACTACGACTGCTGACTCTCAATGGACCAATCACAGTGAGGCGCCGATTTGGCCTCCATACCATTGAGAGTCGGCAGTCGTAGTCGGCAATCGGGTTGGCCTGTGCAGTCGGTAGTCTGATACGGGCTTTAGGCAGAACAATACTGTGACAAATACACGAGATAATTTTGTAAAATTGTATTATTGATTATAAAATCATCTGGTGTTGTTGTTCTAATAAAATTTTATTTATTCTTAATTAAAGTTATATAACCATTAAAATATATATTATATTTTTCAAATATTATCCTAAAGTAAAAAGTCACACTATTTTAACCTATTTGCACGTATTAGGTTTGTTCGAATTACTTGTACTATTCATATTTTTACACCTAATGCCCGTTGCACACTAGTGCACCCCATACAACACAAATTTTCCAAAATACGTTCTGAAGATGCTTTTTTGAGGACGGAAGGATGTCATCAGAATATTTTTAGGACGTCCTTTGAAGATGTGAGTTGTCTGAAAATAGCTAATATCCAATAAGTTTATTCGCATTAATTGAACTTTTTACACTTTCACACTTAGTGCACATTAATTTTTTAGAAGTTCTAAAAATGACGTCTTGATTTCCGTTCGTGTTACGAGTGTAAATGCAATTCTAATACACTTTTTACACTTGATCTACGTGCACTAAGTGTGAAAATGTAAAAAGTTTAATTAATACAAATAAACTTATTGGATATTAGCTATTTTTAGACAATTCACACCTTCAAAGAACGTCCTAAGAATACTCTGATGACGTCCTTCCGTCCTAAAAATGTCTTCAGAATGTATTTTTGAAAATTTGTGTTGCACTAGTTTGAGGTGCACTAGTGTGCAACGAATATTAGGTGTAAAAGTGTGAAAAATACAAGCAACTTGAACAAATCTATTGTTTTTACATGACGTGCAGGTCTACAATAAATTATGCCATTAGGGTATATTGATGACAAAACAAGATAAATTTAACATCTATTTTAATAATGTTAATATAGTTTATTGTAATTAAAACATATAATGCAAGAACATTTATATAAACTTAAAACAATAAATTATTATTGTACAGCAAAATTTCAAATTCTTTTACCTCTCAATGAATATGCTACAACAATATTAAAAAAAAATGTGGAATCTTTATATGATGTTCCCATGGAGGTTGGAAGTTATCCTCATCTTCATCAGATCAAAAAATATTTCTCACATTTCTAGTACATCCATTTTTTATCTAAAAATGTTTAATTGTAATGAGTATTAAAATATAAAAGAAATAACTCAAATAATATTAAAAAATAGTAACACTAAGAAAAGTTTGTAGAATTATATACAATTTAAAACAAACTGTGCAAACAAATCTATATTGTTTTGTCATCAATGGCATAATTTATTGTGGACTTGCTCATGCACAAGTCATGTAAAAAACAATACTTGCAAATATATTAAAACAGTGTGATTTTTTACTTTAAGATAATATTTGAAAAATATAATATATATATATATATATATATATATATATATATATATATATAATATAAATATAATATATATTTAATATAATATAAATAAATATTTAATATAAATATAATATATATTTTAATGGTTATATAACTCTTTAATTAAGAATAAATAAAATTTTATTAGAAACCAGATGATTTTATAATCAATAATACAATTTTACAAAATTATTATCTCGTGTATTTGTTACGGTATTGTTCTGCCTAACCCACTGCTTACAGTTGTGAAACAGCATTAGATAGCTTTGGGTTGTCATGAATCACATAATAATAGTAGATGGTGATGTCTGTAACTTATTTCTGCTCTAGGAAAATGACTCGGAGAGGTATTATCGGAAACACCTATTGAGTTATGGCTCCTGTACACAGGACGCTGTAATGCTTGCTGCGCGGCGGAAGTCCGCGCGACAGTTAATCAATATGTTGTTTTTCCGTAAGAGTTAGAAGGTTATTACGGAAAGCAGCATATTGATTAGCTATCGCGCGAACTTCGGCCGCGCGGCAAGCATTACCGCGTCCTGTGTGCAAAAGCCATAAGTTGTCACAAACTATAAAAGTACTAGATGGTCGTGCCTATCATAATTTCCAGCCCTAGTGGAACTAACTCTTAATGGCTCCTGCACGCAGGACGCGGTAATGCTTGTTGCGCGGTTAGGCGATAGTTTCCCGAAAAGTGGAGGGGATAATTTTGGTATCAAGGAAAATCTCTACACGATATAATTTAAAGATTTGTTCTTTGTAACTGCACTGCTGAACTGGTGCAATAAATTGATATGAGACAAGTATACGTTTTCTCACTTTGACCTTTTGCATTAGTTCAGAAATGTGCAAAGAACAGATCTTTAAATTATATCGTGTAGAGATTTTCCTTGGTACTAACATTATCCCCTTCATTTTTCAGGAAACTGTCGCCTAATCTTGCCGCGCGGCGGAAGTTCGTGCGACAGCCAATCAATATACTGCTTTCCGTAATAACCTTCTAGGTCTTACGGAAAGCAGCATATTGATTGGCTGTCGCGCGGACTTCCGCCGCGCGGCAAGTATTACCGCGTCCTCTGTATAGAAGCCATAACTCTAATCCAGTCCCCAGTGATCCCAGATGGGCACGCTTTTCCGCGCATACGCGTCATCTGTGTGATATATCCAGTAACATATATATGTTCAGGTTAGAATGGAGCGGAACATGTTTTGGCGGGTTTCATTCAGGAAGGCTAATTCCGGTAGGATAAGTAAGTAGATAAATAGATATATTAAAATAAACTATTAATTTTATTCTATATATTATTTTTTTTTGGTGATGCATATTAGCGATTAACAAGCGTATTTGTATTGTACTTATTCTGGATATATATAAGGTGTTCGAAGAATTTTAGAATAGCCACAGTGTGCAAGTAGATTAGGTCAAACTGAACAAAAAATTCCTTTACCATTCATTTACCACCGAAAAATTTTGAGTTATTACTTAAAGAAGTATATAATTTTATCCATTAAATTATATATATAATTTTATAAATTAAATTCAATATATGTTATTCTTTTTTTATGAGCAAACATAATTTGGCCCAACGGCACTCTCTTTTTACAATATTATGTACTTCATTGAAGCTGTTTTCGTCGCGCATGCGCGGAAAAGCGGGACTATCTGAGATCACTGGGACGATCACACTTTCATTAGGGACTCCGCACACAAATTTCCGTAGCAGTAACGTAAAGGCCAAATCACACTAGCGATTGACGATTGACGATTGACAATTAAAGATTAGATTTTAACGAATCAACAAGCTTCAGCCTTGGTTTTCTTTGTTCCAATTGGTCAAGTTCCAATCTTCAATCGTCAATCATCAATCGCCAATTGCTAGTGTGATTTGGCCTTAAAGGCAAATACGTTACTACTATGGCTGCGTTTCGAAATTCACTGCCAGTACTGAAATTCTATAATATACGTAACATAAACTATAGATTTTCAGTACTATCGCAGTGCATTTCGGAACGCAGCCTATGTCAAGTTGTGTGTAGAGACGTTTAAGCCCGTATCAGATTACCGACTGCACAGGCCGACCTGACTGCCGACTACGACTGTCGACTCTCAATGGACCAATTACAGTGAGGCGTAGTCGGCAGTCGTAGTTGGCAGTAGGGTCGGCCTGTGTAGTCGGTAGTCTGATACAGGCTTTACGCCTTTGTGCGTGACGGAGTGCGCCACGACTTCGGTACAAAAATTCGTGTTTTTTCCTATTCCGTGTCGGTGAGTTGGTTTGCCTCGGTTTTGTGTGAAAAATAATGATGAGAAAACGAAGCTTATTGAAAGAGAGGATAGAAAACTTGATGAAGATTAGGATACTGCAGTATCCTCAGATATTAGAAGAAGGTAATTAGTGATACTTCTCATAATGCTCATGATTACGCGATTGCCTTGCCTAAGCTCAATTTAGAGATGGCAAATTTCGCTGGCAACGGAGGCAAGCCCTCACGCGTTGTCTCGTCTACAGCTGCGTTCCGAAATTCACTGCCGGTACTGAAAATCTATAGTTTATGTTACGTATACTATAGATTTTCAGTATTGGCAGTAAATTTCGGAACGCAGCTACGTATGGGCTTTATTAACGTTACCTTAATTCAGCGGCGGCGAGATCAAAGAGAGAGTTGAGACAGGCCCGCACGCACGTCTCTCATAGTAGAGAACGCTTTGAGGCCGGACGTCTAGAACGATGTTGCGAGATGAGCTCAGAACGTAAGTCAGCCATACGCCTAACCTAACATAACCTAGCTTCTTTTAACCCAAGTTAGTTTTATGTTCTACAGAACAATATAGGCTGTGTTCGCTTTGGGCGCTTACGCGCTGTAAGCGTTATTGTATCTTTATCGCTCATTACATGCGGGAAAAAGATAGAATAACGCTTACAGCACATAAGCGTCCAAAGCGAACGCAGCCATAGTGTTAAGATTTTGTGAGAGCCTCAGTAGAATGAAGCTCGTGTTTCTTTTTTTCTGCAGATGTAGATGCCTTCGTATATATATTTTCTAGCCAAAAAATAGATAACGGGCAACAGAAAGAGTCGCCCGGTATCGAACAGCCTCAGGTACTTACGTCACAAATTTCTACAGCACGATTATTAGACGATCAAATCCTACAGACAATAAGAGTGAACAAAGCTCTATCCTACTGAAAAATTTCTGTTGAGATAACGATAGAATTCCCAATTCAATTCTCAGTTGAATTCTCAATTGCGGTTTCCGCAAAAATTCGCATGTAAGATCTCAATTGAGATATTTGTATCTGATGGAAATAATTTATTGAAAATATAATGAACTTTTGCTGAAATGCTTTTGAAAAACTTTCACAATTTTGACCCAATTTCATTAAAATTTCTTATAATTTCATTAATATTTCGATAATATTTCATTAAAAATATAGAAAAATTCAGTGAAAAATTATTATTAATTAAAATAGATTGAGAAAAGTATAATGAAGTATTATTTTGTCTAAATAATAAAAAAAAAACTGGCATTTCATATTTTGTGTCGTTTTATTTATTCCCACGCGAATCTCACGAATAAATGAAACGATACAAAATATGAAATGCCAGTTTTTTTAATTATTTAGACAAAATAATACTTCATTATACTTTTCTCAATCTATTTTAATTAATAATGATTTTTCACTGAATTTTTCTACATTTTTAATAAAATATTATTGAAATATTAATGAAATTATAATGAAATTTTAATGAAATTGGGTCAAAATTGTGAATGCTTTTCAAAAGCATTTCAGCAAGAGTTCATTATATTTTCAATAAATTATTTCCATCAGATACAAATATCTGAATTGAGAACTTACATGCGAGTTTTTGCGGAAACGGCATTTGAGAATTTAATTGAAAATTCAATTGAGAATTGAATTGGGAATTCTATTATTATCTCAACAGAAATTTTTCAGTAGAGTAGGCTCTGAACATCTACATGTGTTTTCGATTTCCGTAATCTCAAGAAGGAGACTCGAATTATAATGAAACGATCAATCAGGATTATAAAGAGAGTTTTGTTCGAGAGATTAATGGAGGATTCACACCACGTCCGGTGTCCGACATACGACGTCCAATATTCAATAACAGAATAGATATTCTAGAGACTCTAACTAGAAATATTTTGTCGTAACTTAAAGACGTTTCAAAGACGTCTTATGTCCCACTTTTAGATATTGTGCTGTTTGAGACGTTATTTTCATGTTATATAGCAGTTATATTCTGTGTTTATTAGAATATAAAGTGAAATAAGTATAATATTAAACAAATACCTTAACGTTATTAGCAGGCGAATATTAGGCAGAATTGGTTGTCGGAAATTTGTTTTTTGTCTCTGTATGATTGGTTCTACTAATTGTAGTAATTCCATAAAACATTCAGGTAGCATTCGTGTATAATTATAATACCACGTCAAATCTTGAAGACCCATTTCTTTTACTAATGTCGAAGCTTCACCTTTATGTTCTCGTTCAACAATACATGCTCCAATCCATATTCTTTTCCTTTTATTATAGTTTTTCTTCATTTGTATTGTCTTGTAATGATTAATAATTAATAATAATTTTAGCAATGTTTTTTTCTATGAAATAATATTAAACTGTCCATTTTTTAATATTTGGATTTAAATATTTTTACTTTCTACTTGGATACTTCTTATATTATTAAAATGTTTATTTACTTGATATACTATATATTTTCAGCATTGAACACAGATTAATTGGAATTTATCAAATTTTCGATTATATATCGTTTCCTCTAGAAAATTAAGGCAGCTATTATAGTTAGGTCCTATATTTAAAACCATTTTAAAATTTACCTTCAGATACTTTGTAACCAAAAAAATGATCTGTGTGGCATCAGAAGATGAGCTTAAGGGCCGTGGCACACAGAAAAACTTAAGCAGTAAGACGTAAGCAGTAAGCAAATTGACCAATCACAGTCGTTAATTCTTCTTACGGTCCAACAATCAACGACTGTGATTGGCTGATTCGCTTACTGCTTACGTCTTACTGCTTAAGTTTTTCTATGTGCCACCAGCTTAAGATCTTTGACTATATAACCATGGGACCGCTAGCCGCTATCTTATGTCTGCAGCAAAATGTCTGTCAACATCTGCAGCGCCGCCAGGACCAAACAACAGCTATTACGTAAACTATCACATATTTGTGATTTCTATTTTAATATGTGAAAGATATTTTGTGTATGTGTCCGTAATCATAAATTTATCATTAAAATTTTGCATTTATCATTAAAATATATGAAAAATTATTATATTTCTTTAATCGTCAACAATAGACTTTTTCATTTTTTCTTCAAATAAATTATTTGAAGAAAAATATAAACATTAAAAAAAAGTTACACAACTTTGCTATAATATAAAAATCAACAGTTTTTAAAGTAACAAGAAAAAAAATCTGATTTGTAAGGAAAATATAAAAACACAAAATAAGATACTTATATAATTTCATACCAAATTTGTATTTATTATATTACATAAGAATATATAATATTTATATAATATATTTTTATAATAAGAGATATATAATATATAAATTATATATATATATATATATATATATATATATATATATATATATATATATATATATATATATA